ACAGTGTGAGCAGGATAGGGTCTGTGAGGATTGAAGCAAGGGAAGAGGCAAGAAACCAAGAGCACTGGGACGTGACTGTTGTTTGCTCCCAAGCAGTGGCAAGCCCATTGAGCGACTTGAGATCTCAGCCTGCCTCAGTGGTGCACATCGGCACCTTGGGAATTCCTTACCTGGTAGCAAGTACAGCACTACTGGATTATCCCTGAGGGTTCAGGGAGCAGAGTCAGAACAGGGCGAAGGGTTGGGGAGCCAGGAGAAGCCCTTAGAAATGAATTCTTCTGGCTCCGTTTTGGTCTTTGGGGGTGGTGGCACCAAAAGGTAACTACTGACCGTGAGCAGTGCAAACATGATGTGGGAAAACATGATGCCGCGGGCTTGGTCTGGGGAAACAGTGTGTAGTGGAAGTTCAGTGAAATCTGTCTGTGATTAAACTGTATATATTGCAGTATATATTGCGATTAAACTGATATAATGCAGTCTTCCAAGTGTGAATTTTGGAATCACACAGTGTGAACTTCACATCCTCACTTGGCCACTTGGTAACTGCTGTATCACTCAGAGTCCATTCAGGAAAACAGAGCCATTCCAGTTGATAGGTGAAATTAACGTGCAGAACTAATCACAAATGCTTTGAAAGAGGTGAAATGCTAAATGGGTGACAGCAAGGCTACCCAGAGATTAGCAGAAGGGGGAAAGTACTCCCATTCCTAGGCCTAAAGGGTCAGGGGCTGCCTGGAGGGAGCTGGGACATGGAAGAAAGTCCCTCTCATGGGATCCGGGACAGGAAGAATATTCAGCCATTGCCAGAGATGCTGCCCAGTTGCAGGGGGAGAAATATTCTGCCTTCTTCCCTCCTCCTGCGCTGCAATTTCCTGCCAACAAACCTCTGGGTGAACCAGAAGCCAGTTGGCAAGGGAGCCTAAGAAACAGAGTTTGGGTGTCCAGCACAGCAGAGGAAGGCTGGGAAATAGACATGGGACCAAACAGGCAAATGACCAGTCCAGGAGCTATGGGATCACACTGCGTAATGTCCCGTAGCCTCAGCCTCCTCATCTGTAAAATGGAAATAGCATTCCTACCCCACAGGGTTGTTGTGATGAGGATCAAGGGACCCAGCACATGTTTCGGTTAGGTTTTCTTGGTGGTTAGGAATAGTCTCCTCAAGGACACCCAGCAATTGGAGCGAAGGCAGGGAGACAGCTGTAAAGACATATGAGAAACCGAGGACAGGGGCAGGAACCATTGCCACCTGGTCTCACAGAGGCCAAGTCAGAAGGGCCCTCAGAGTCTGAAGCGCTCCCCTGGGGCTCAGCAGGGGGTGTTGTAGAGCTTGCTTTTCTTTTCTGCATTAAAGTGACTCCCACTCTCTCTAAATGTCTGGTTCCCTCCTCTAGCCATCAAGCGGCATATTTCTCCTCCACTCTAAAGCTTTTATTTGAAGCTAACAAGTTTTTATATCTCAGAATTTCTGCTTCTCATGACGTTGGCTTGATAATGGCCCCTTTAGCCTTCTCTCTACCTCAAGATCTTTCAGCTCCAGCTCCTGCTGAAGATTGTTCACTTCTCCACATAGTTCCTAATTGAATTTCATTGGAACAAGAATCTTATGGGGCCAGCTTTTTTTCACTGAGTAGAACTTTCCATTCAAGACCACCCACAGCAGCTGCAGCTTGGATGTCTTTGGAACCAGAGTGCCCATCCTTGGTCCACTCAGCAGTGTTGGAGGGAGTGGGGCTGGGTGACGACGTGGCCCAAAACATGGCTGTCCGGCACTGTCCCTTCAGCAGGGGCTGTGGAGGGTGCCTGCAGGGGGACTGGCTTCGGTCCCCCCCACCCCCGGGGTATTTTGAGTCCCATAACCTCACAGGAGCCAGAACTCCTGGCCACCTCTACTCCCTCTGGTTCAGATCTTAATGGTTTCACATCCACTTTCTGTTTCTTTTCTTACTATAGTACACAGAGATATTTATCTATTTTCACATGGCCATGCCTTTTGATTTTCTTTTTCCTATTTTATATATCAGAGCAGTGCCTTGGAGCAAAACAAAGCCTCAAATTTGGAATTCACAACACCATCTTGACTAGAATTCATGCCAAAAATTTCTAAAACTTATGACTAATACAAAGCTGGAAGTTACCAAAATTAAGTTCTTATGAAAAACTCTTTTAAGAAGAATGGGTGACCGTGTGGAGAAAAGAGGAAAAAGTTGAAGATAATTTAGGTTGCAGATTGATGATACTGCCAAAGGCACCTGAAAAACTAGAGTATTGCAGGGACTGTAACTTCAGAAGTTTTAGAGACTGAGGTGAAGGTAGACTCCTTATCTTAAAATCAATAACCCTCCCACCAAACCAAACCAAACCAAACATGAAACCCATAAACAGCAACAATAAAAATCAATAAATAACTCAAATACTGTTGTTCATGAGTGAATGAGTCTGAGTGATGAATGGAAAGTGGGCTTAGACAAGACAATTTTAGAGGTTGAAATGAGGGTGACACGTTGTCTTCAAATCATCAGACCCTACTCACTCTCACTCCCACCTCTGGTCAAAAATCCCAAACCAACCAACAAAAACTCAAGAATAAAATGGTGCTAAGCAATGTATGGAACCATGTGAATTGCTCATGGGATTTATTGTTGAGTGAATAGAGTTTGTAGAGAGAAAAGGCTCATAGGAAAGGATTTCTCAAGCATATCTCAGTTTCCACAGTAGGGGTGGGCTGAAAGGAGGGCAAGGCAGAGCCAGCTGATTCAGCTCTGTCCCCCACACTTGAGGGTCTGTGTGGGTCAGGAGCAGTGTCCCAGACTAGCCGTGAATGGGGACTCTGTCTTTCTCAACCCCCCTGTGGCCTGTCAGGACTTACACCTATTGTGTACTTCACCAAAGCACACGCACACGGGGGAGCCCTTCCTTCGGCCGTGGGGAATAGGGCAAAAGCAGCTCAGAAGGTTCTAGTCTTGGGAGAGAAAAGCAGGGCTTTCTGAGAATTAGGATGTGCACTGTGGGGCTTTTTTTAAGCCCCACACCTATTTCAACTGTGTGTCAGATTTAGGGAGTGAACTCAGATTGATTAAAGAGAAAAGGAACTGTCTTCAAGGATGGGAGTCTTCCCCGGTTGGAAATATTCTGGCTGGATTGCTGATTGGAGAGAGGAAGGCTCATTTCGTGCTGCCAGAAAAGAACGCTCTTGGCTGACATCTGTGGGGTTGTTCCTGGCTTCGAAGCAGACAGGATATCGACTAGCTGCCTCTTGAACTATTGCACTGAGGCTGAAAAGTGGCCCTGGCAAGTCAGGAGGGGCCCAGGCAGAGCGCGTTGAATCCAGTCTGGTGGTGAGCTGGAGTCCAGAGACCTGGGGCCCCTTCAGAGTCCTGAGATCCCCTCACTATGTGGCCTGGAATTCTTTTTCCTCTTCAACAAGAGGAAGGATTGGACAAGATTATTTTCAAAGTCCCTCCAGCTCTAGTCATGCATACAGGTGGGGCGGGGGTGGAGGTGGGGAACACACGGTATAGACAGTGGTTCGTTTGGAAGCAGAGAGAACAATTCAAGTTTAAAAATCAAACTGAAGAAAACAGTAAAGAGAACAAAGGACCTAATCTCTCTTTTCTCAGAAAGATCAAGAGATTTTAAATCTGATCTCATTAACATTTTTTCTTTTCTCTCTCTCAGAAAAATGCCATACTCTACTTTATGTTACTCATAATCGCTTGCGATGACGGCAATACTTTACCAGCCTCTGTGTAGCTACTGGTTTTCACATTTAAGGCAGAAAAATCTTCATTTAATGGCCTTAAGAGCATTGGTGTGCACCCCATTAATGGTTAATCTAGGAAATTGTGGAGGTTGTGACTAACGTTTCTGTTCTTTTTCTGTTTATTCAGATCCATGCCTTTGCCTTTTCTTCCAGATAGAAGAGTCCAGAGGAAATGCCTTTTTAGAGGCATTTCAAGATGTTAAATTTGTTCACTATTTGTTTAATATTTTTGGGAGCTGCTATGTGTGGGAGAGGTGCTGGTGAAAAAGGAGGAAGCAAGACAAATGTGATTGATCCCGGTGTTCCCAGAACTTACAGTCGTGTATGTGTGTGTGTGTGTGTGTGTGTGTATGTATGTGTGTGTGTATGTGTGTGTGTGTGTGTGTGTGTGTGTGTGTATGTGTGTGTGTGTGTATGTATGTGTGTGTAGGGGACACAGCCTGGAAACAGGGAAGTCGAAAAATCAGTGAAATGATCATGTATTGTGATAAGAGCTGTGCCATAGACAAGGGCTGAGATGGAGGAAAAGGCAGAATGCTGACGTGCCCGTCTGGGTGTTGTGGGCTAAGAGGGGCCCTTTTGAGTGTGTACTCAGAGACGGCCTCTTTGCTAAGGGGAGCAGCTATGCCAGGAGTGGAGCCCTCAGTGGAGCCCATTTTTCTCTTCTCTCTCTCTCAAAAAAAAATACCATACTCTACTTTATGTTACTCATAATCGCTTGTGATGACGGCAATACTTTACCAGCCTCTGTGTAGCTACTGGTTTTCACATAAGGCAGAAAATCTTCATTTAATGGCCTTAAAAGCATTGGTGTGCACCCCATTAATGGGTAATCTAGGAAATTAACGTGCAGAGGCTTTGGGCAGGAGGGTGTGACTAGTGGAAGGGACCTCTGGCTGCCCAGAGTGGCTGGGGAGACAGATGTGCTGGTGTCCTTTCCCCTACACACTGTAAGATTTAGCTCAGTGACCAAGAAGGCTTTCCTAAGTGCACACATGCGCAGCGCTGGCAAGCCTCCCTAAGGCAGGTCTGGAACCGCGCCGCAGGCCTGGCCTTCCTCAGCACAGACTCCAGCGGAAGTGGCTCTTGCATTGGTGAAGGCCCCTCAGGGATGCTGTGTGCAAAGTTGGGATTGGAAAAATCTCCTCCCCCTACCTTTTTTTTTACCCTTTCAACAGCAGGAGATCAAAGAATGGGAAGTGGAGTCAAATGATAATGGTTCATCTATTGTGTTTATTAGAGTACCTAATCCATGCCAGGCTCTTTCTAACTGCTTCACATGTTTATTTTAAGCCTTGATTTATCCTATGGTAGAAATTATTGTTATCCCAATTTTATAGATGACGAAAATGAGGCCCAAAGAGGGCCATGTGCTTGCCTGAGGTCTCCAGAGCCCTTTCCTTAACCATTAGGCAACACTGCCTGGAAGGGTCAATTTCATGTGAGGATTTTGGGGAGCACACATTGGGTAGCATAACATTAGAAAGTAGAAAGTAACAGGTGAAGGTTCTGTCTCTTTCTGGAGTTAAGAGAATGACAATTTTCCATCTGAGAGAGAGATTTCTAGACCCCAACATATCTATTACATTAGAATCTCTGAGAGTAGAACTCAGGACTTTGCATCTTTAAATTGCTACCCCATTGATTCCAAATACTATTTGAGGAGCATGGGTGTGGGTATTCACAATTATGGAGCCGAAAGGCCGGACTCTGAATTCTTTCAGTAATAATAACAACAAAAATGATAGTGAAAATAAAGTCATTTCTTGAGTGTCTTCTCTGGGTCAGACATTTATAGTAGGTGTTTTTCATGCGTGATTATATTTAATCTTGATAACTCTGCAAGGATCGAATAATTTTTTACATCTTACAAATGAGGAAATCTAAACTCAGAGAGATAAGTATAACTTGTCTAAAGTAATGCGAACAGTGAGGTGCAGAACCGATGTTCAAACTCCATCCATTTATGGATTCAATCTGAACCCTAGGACATGTAGGGTCATGTTTAATTACGGAGCTCAACTTCAAATTTTCTTTCTTGTCTCATCTCAAAACATAATCAAATAATCAAATGAAATCTTTCTAGGTATGTGGTCTTTGGCAAGTTGTTTAACTTCTTATTTTCTTATTTACAAAAGAGCAAAAAAAATGCCTACCTCATAAATTTGTTGTAAGGATTAAATGGGATAATCCACGTGAAGTCTATGAAGAAGTGCCCAGCACTGGGTAAGTGCCCTAGAATGTAGCTACTGTTACTATTGACATCGTTATACTGCCCACTCTTCCTAAAATGGGTTTATGCAAGTGTTCCATGATCAGCATTTCTGACAACAAATATTGATTGCTCGTTTCCTCATGGTCATCTTGGACTGACAAAGATCATCCTACTCCTTCAGAAGCAAAATCAGAGAGTCCTCAGATGTTGTCTGTGACCGTCGCTCAGTGTTCAAACTTCTTTCTCCCAGCTGAGCTCCAGCAAGGTATGCCCCGTTGTCAGCTGACCTCTGGCTGCGGATCTGCAAAGTCACCTTCTTTTCCTGCTTCCTTCCCTTCATCAGGTAAACTTACACTTTTCACTGATCATTGACATCCTCCTTCATTCAGCAAGTATCTATGGAGGACCTGTTCTGAGGCAGGCACTCGTTATTCTGGGCACTGTAGATGTAGCCCTGAAGAAAACAAAGACCTCTGCCCTTTTGACGCTTATATCCTAGTGGGCCTGAGACAGAGAGAGAGAGAGAGAGAGAGAGAAACAAGTAAGTCAAGTATTAAATTTGTTAGATGATGGTAAGTTCCATGGAGAAAACTAAAGCAGGGAAAGGGGTCAAGGGATGCCAGAGGGCGATGGGAGGCAGTTTCACGTAGCATTGTCAGAGAAGCCTTCATGGTGGGAATATTTCAGCAAAGTCTTGAAGGAGGTGAGGGAATGAGCCATTTGGATTTCTGGGGAAGAATGTTCCAGGTGAAATAAACAGCACATAACAGTTCAGCACATAAACAGTTCTTGAGGCAGGTGTGTTTGAGTGGTCAATGCGGGCTGAGTGCAGGAGACGGTGATAGGTATGTGAGCAGAGAGGTAGTGGGGCAGGGCAGTGTGGGGCCATGTAGGCTATTGTAGAAGTCTCTAGCTCTTATTCTGAGACAAAAAATAGAGATCTGAGGTGAGAAATGTTATGCCATGACTGATGCTATCACAGGAACACTCTAGTACTCCATTGAGAATGGACCATAGAAGGGCAAGGATTGAGGTAGAGAGACCATTGCATGACCGTTGCAATAATCCAGAGTAATGTAAGGAGAAATGAAAACATTTTTTAAAAAGATATTGGCTCACTCCTGTAGGCCCAGCTACTCAGGAGGCTGAGGCAGGAAGATTGCTTAAGCCCAGGAGTTTGAGACCAATCTGGGCAACATAGTGAGACACTGTCTCTACAACAACTTTTAAAAAAGATATTGGATAGTTCACCAAATACCTGAGAGGTCAAAACGAGCTCCATCATAGGGTAGAGCTGGCCTACAATGCCCCTCCACTGCCAGCACTGTGCCCCCAGTGTTGCAGCCTGCCCCCCAATGCCATCGATACAGGACCCCTTTGCCAGCACTGCCACTGCAGCATCTGACAACCATGCAGAGCTGCCAACATACATCACTTCTGGTCACAGAGCTTCTGATTGTAATTCTGGGGGTTGTCTGTGCTTGGTGGAGCCTGGTCAATCAAGTAGCCATGCTCATACCCCAGCCACACGGGCCGCAGGTAACGTGAGTGTCTGATGCTCTCAGCTTCTGCTGTGGGAGGTGGGTGATTCCCAACCACAGGACAGGGATTCAGATGTTAATAGGGAAAAAGAATGCCAAGTGCCCACCACTGGTGGGAATCTTCTATTCCTTAGCCACTGCATTTCTGCCTGGTTGTGCACCAAATGGCAGTTTGGGGTAAGTCTTCTCATAGGTTTTCAATAATAGCAGCAGCAGTAGAATACCAGTTATTCCCGCAGTTATCCACAGAACAACCTTGAAATGCAGGTGACTCATACCCACAAAGTGAGTCATGTTGAAATGTCATTTCCACATTTCTCCATTGCTCTATAGCATTTTACCTATTCCATCATTGAAGGCCTATTGATTCCCTCCTTCTGCTTTTGTCTTATCATTATGATTGACAGTTCAGAATGGGGAATAGATGGGGAAATTGACAGGAGATGTGTGGAGCCAAGGATGAGTAATAAACACCTTGGTATTTTCACAGCTGTCAATATTTTTATTTCAATCACTTTGTCATCAGATGAATCATATTGTTGAATGAACCAAACATTTGAAATAAGCAAAATTTAGAAATTGCCATTCTTCCCTTGTTTTTTTATGGTTTTTTAAAATTTAATTTAATTTAATTAATTTTTTTTTTTTTTGAGACACATTCTCACTGTGTTGCCTGGGTTAGAGTGCTGTGGCATCAGCCTAGCTCACAGCAACATCCAACTCCTGGGCTCAAGCAATACCTCTGCCTTAGCCTCCCGAGTAGCTGGGACTACAGGCATGTGCCACCATGCCCGGCTAATTTTTTCTACACATTTTTAGTTGGCCAATTAATTTATTTCTATTTTTAGTAGAGATGGGGTCTCACTTTTGCTCAGACTGGTTTCAAACTCCTGATCTTGAGTGATCCACCCGCCTCTGGCTCCCAGAGTGCTAGGATTACAGGCGTGAGCCACCGAGCGCAGCCCATTCTTCCCTTATTTTAAAGAGAATGGACAATGAGACATTTTGTCACATCCCTTAAAGACCCTTTCTCCTCTGCCTCCCCTTTTTAATTTAGATTCAATTTTAATAGGTATACAATGACCAAGGAAGAATTCACATGACTTTCAAAACCAGAGGCTGAAATGGACAAAAAAAGGTTAATTCGTAGCCCCTACTTGCAAAAATGTAAATTCAAAAGTTAATATTTGCAGATAGTTATTAGAGATTTGGAATATATTATCCTCTTCTGCTGCTGTTTGATATTATACTTTCAATTTTCACTCCTTGCTTAAAGCTTTTGGTGTTGTAAGTAAAACCTTGATGGTATTTTAGAAGACAGTTCTCCTGATAAACCAAACTGGGGAGCTGTTAAAAATACCTACACACGGGCTCACTCAATACCAATTAAATCACACTCACCACGGCCCAGCCCTTTACCCCTTGACTGTAAAGTGCGGCCAGGACAGAGAACCACTGGTCTAGGCCTTGGAGGCATTTGACTGTTGACTCAAAGAACAGCCAGGTGGTGGCTCAGCTGGTAAGGCGAACTTGACCCAAGCAAGAAATGAGAATTTATCAGGCCTAAAGATAGCCTTGGCTTTACAGCAGGGAGGGACAAGGGACTAACTTGGGGCTGTCGGGAATGGAGGGGAGGGAAGTGGTGACGTTGCAGGGCAAGCTGGTGCTTCTGGCCAAGGTCACACGGTTCTGTTCTTAAAGAAGAAACTTAAAACGCTGAATTTCACCGAAGTATAGAATTAGCCTTAAAAACAGGTAGATGGCTGTCTTGAACGAATCAAACACGATGAAGAAAAATGGGTTGGAGAGGGTGCCCCCCCCTCCGCAGGAGTAATAACAGAGGGAACTACCAGGCAGTGTGAGACTTTGGTTAGGCAGGCAATGCTGCAACGAAGGCGGTATCCTGAGACGCCTGGCTCAGAGGCAGCTGTGCCAGGAGCCCCAGTAGATGCCTTGCAGGCCTGGGGCAGATGGTACAAGCTGTGGGGCCCGTGCCAGCTGCTGCAGCAGGAGGGTCCCCCCGGGAGCATCTGGTGGTGCCATTTGGGAAGCCTTCCTGGCTTCATGGCCTCCAAGCCTGATTCTTGGCCTTCCTAGGGATTACGGTCCCTCAGCACACCGTAATAAATTGCCATTGTACTTCAACCCATAGGAGTGAGTTCTGTGTTTACAATTAAGAACTTCGAATGACACACATTCATTTTCATTTAATGTTCATTCAGCCCAATGGGATAGAAGATACTATTCCTCTTTAATAGAAATTGAGAATCAGAAAAGTTAAGAAGCTTGTCCAAGGTTAGACAGCCACAAAAGGATAATACTGGAGGGAAATTCACATGTGAACCCTCCCAAAGCCCCTTCTCTTTTTCCTGTAGGGGTCCTGGAAGGGCGCCACCACGCTGCGCAGCGGTGCTTTGGAGATCCGCTGCTTGGCAGCCTTCTCCCTGCGTGGTTCAGTCTAGGGAAGTGACCCGGGCCTTAAGGTTGCCTAAAGTTTGTCTGCCAACGTCTGCCTTTTATTCAAATTACTCACAAGAATGTGGGCTCCGACTGGATGCATCTATGGTTTTGTGTTTTTGTACCTCGTAATTTCCTAGCAATAAGTTTTTCTGAAAAATTTCCTCCTTTCAGAGTTGAACTTACAGGAAAAGGGTTTTTCCTACACCTCAGCCAATATCAGAGTGGTCATGTGTGTGTGGGTGGCCCCAGGGACCCAGTTTTAGAATGGAGGACAGGTCGTGAGTGCCCAGGCAGGAAGAGACCAGGGGTCACTGTTGGCCCCTCTTCCTGCCAGCTGCTCACAGATTCCACCCACCTGTGACCTACAGAAACCATGCATTTAGACCCAAACCACTGGAGCCAGAGTGGCTCTACCTAGTAAACCAACTCTAGTTCTCCTTGGAAAGCCCCCAAATTTAAAAGCTGGAAGGGACCTTAGAAACCTATTTTGCGTTGAGAAAACTAGCTCAGAAAGGATTTTCTTGGGGACACACAGTTAATGGCCAGGAAGAGTTCTTGCTTTGGGCTAAACATAACAGAAACTGCAAAAGCTCTTTATAACCAGAAAAAGAGAGAAAGCTTAAGGCAAAAAGAGCATGTGGCTCTTCATATTTTACAATTTACCTGGGGAGACATGTGCTGAGAGATGAGACGTTGCGTCACTTGGAAACGTCCTGCAGGAACTCGGGGGCAGGCGACCCTGGAGAGTCTGAGTGGTCAGAAAAGGCTTCTCAGGGGATGGGGAGGGGGTTGGAGTGCGCCCCCAGAGGAGGAGGAGCAGAGAGAGTGATGGCTCCCTCTCTGACTGGGCCTGAGGAAGGGGAGGAACCCTGCTCCCCCACCACACTCCTGCTCAAAACCCTGGGTCCTGAAACGAAAAAAAAGGGGGAGGGGGGAAGGCACCAAGACAGCTGTGCAGGGTGATCCCTCCTTCTCTGGTCAGTGTAAGCAAGCACACGTGTTGGGGCGTGGCTTAGGGGGTTTAGGCATGCCTGGCGGCCAGGAGGAGGTGTCCGCCTGGCCAGATGTGGCCACTCTGGAGCCTCCCTGTTGGCGCCTAGCTCTCCCCCTACCTGGCTCCGCCGGGTGGGCTCCCAGGCTCCTCTCCACCCGCTTCCTTTGGGCGCCTGCTGCTGCTTTAGCTGCGAAGGCCCAGAACCTGCTTCCTTCCCCAGTTAACTAGGGGTTGTGGGGAAGGAGGACCCAGAGAGCTGGCGCCCCCTCCCTCTCCCGCCTCTCCTCTCGCCCCTGCCCTGCACGCCCCCTGCGTCCCCTGCGCCTAGGATGGCAGCCCTGCACGCAGTCCTGCCGGCCTCAGCTCCGCAGTCTGCCTCTTAAGAACAAGATCTTGCAACTGAAGTTGGCGCTTTCGAGTCCCAGTTTCATCACATATATTTGTGTTTTCTATCTCCTGGATCCCAGTAACTGCTCTTCATGCTGCAGAGGGAGAAAAAGGTGCACTCAGTTCTTCAATTTATTTATTCACAGTAGCCATCATGTCGAAAGAACAGGCACACACCATAAAACCCAGGAATAGGGCTGTCGAAAGAGTGGAAACAAGGCCAGCAAGCCACACGCCACCGCATGCCGCGTTCCGTTCGGTACTCCTGCGAGCGAAGGGCACTGCCCTGGGGTTGCTGGCTGGCCCCTTCAGTGGGGAGAAGACCTGAACGTCCCCCCTGCGCACCCACCACCCCAACCCTTCCAGTTTGACTCTATGAAAAAATAGAGTCTCCGTTAGTTGTCCAGGATTTGGTTGGTTTTGCCTTTTGGAGGCTTGCTAAGGGCCACAAGTCCCAGCCAGGATTGATAAAAAGCTTTTTCCTCTGGGGTTTTCATTCATTCGTTCAACAAATATTTACCAAGTGCCTGATATGTTCCAGGCATTGTTCTAATGAACAGACTTAATATTGTTGCCCTCATCAGAGCTGACATTACATTGGAGAAGAGGGAAAATAAAGAAGAAATATAATTAATAAGTGAATTACGTGTTAAAAGGTATAAAAAAATAGAGTGAGGTAAGGGGATCAGAGTATGTGGGTTCCAGTTTTAAATAGGGTGGCCTGGGTAGAACCACTGCAATGGAAACCCGCCAGGCAGGAATTAGGCTATCTTAGCTTAGCACACTTCTTTGTGCTCAGATTTGCATAGAGCTGGAGACAGAGGCTTGAAGAGGATGGCTGTCTTTTATGGCTAGAATAAGATGGGAGGTGGAGCATCAATAATTCATAGTTTAATAGAGCATTGCAGCTCCGACTTCCCGTGCTTCCATTCCTAACCTCTGGAGAGCTGTGAAATGGTGGCGATTTCTGAAAACAGGAAGGTGGGGAAAGGAGAGAGATCATAAACCACGGGAGTTCTGTGCTTCTGAGGGCAAAAGGGATCCTCAGGTTGGCTCCTGAGAAAGCTGGTGAAAGGAAGGTGGGCCCAGCTTTTTAGGGTGGGAAACAGCTATATACCGGGTGAAGTCAAGGACATATTTTATTTTTTATTTTATTTTTTATTTTTATTTATTTATTTTTTTTTCACCACGACATGATTCAGGAAGGGACATATTTTAATAACTCTAAATTTGATTTTTCCAGTGGGTTGATAATAATGACAACAATTAAAATAGCTGGTGTTTATTGAATGCTTACAGTGTGACAAGTGTTGTGCACAGGTTTCACATGTAACTAGAATGTCAACTAGAATGTCATATAAGGTCCATGGGAGCAGAGACCTTGTTTTGTTTCCTGCTGTGCCTGGAGCAACGCCTGGCACACAGACGGTACTCAGTGAGGGAAGGAAAGAATGACTGTGTTAGATCTTATAACAACCCATTTTACAGGAGAGAAAACTGAGACTTAGAAAGGTTAAGTAATTGCCAAGGTCCTATGGCAAGTTCATGCCAAAGAGCCTGACTCCAGAGCTGTGCTCTTACCCATTACACTAGCTGGTAGGGTAAAGGATGCACTGTCATTATTTTATACTGTCCCTGTTGCCCGGCTTACCACATCTCCAGGGTAGGGCAACGTTTAGAGCAAGTTCTCTGTCATTTAGGGGAATATTTAAAAGCCTGCCAAATATTTTAACAATGAATTCAAAGCAAGAGATCACATTGTTTTATTTCTTGGGATTCATAGTGAACTGGCTCGAATTCTTTCACTATTAATTACAGTTGGATCAATGCTTTAAGAGTATTGGGCCATGAAGATAATTTGGGTGCAGGGCATTTGTTATAATTGGTCTGTTTACTTCTTTTGAGGTTGTCCAGGTACAAGGGTGTATTAGTGCCCAGTGTGTACTCAGTGCTAAGCAAGTTATTGAGCAGGGAAGGGCAAGAAGGATTAAAATTGCAGCAGAAGTCATCCTACCCAATCTGACTGCACTGATGATGGGTGGCAGTTACTGAAGTGAATGATAAAAAATGACAGCACCTAACATGTTTTCATTGTCCACATACATGTAAATTAATATGTAAACACATAAATTCATATAAATACATATAAATTTAAATTCACTTGCCAGTTTTTCACAGAAGCCTAAGAGCTTTGCTTTGATTCTACATTGGCTGATTAGACTTCCGTATTGTTTTTCTGGACTAAATCATATCCGTGGTGAATCATCTACGATGCCCAGTTTTGGTTTCTTTCAAGTGAGACAACAACTCAAAGACAGTTTTCAAGTAAGTTGAGTGCAGCATACTTGTAGATTTTTTAGATATTTCCCCCTAGTCTTTTAGAGTTGTCTTTCTCACGCCTGATTTGATAATAAGGTTTTTTTGTGTGTATGCATGCAATTTAACTTTATGAGTCCTTTCAAAGTGTTCAAATTAGTTTTTGTAGAAACAGTTTTTTTTCCTATTCACATGCTCTGAATTTTCCTATTATTAAGTAGCTAATTGCATAATTAAGATGAAAGCGCTACTGTTATAAACAGCTATGGGGACAAACATGGCTGCTCCCTGGCAAGCTCACAGCGCCAGGGAGGAAGTAGACAGAGCACCTTCCTGGCTGAGAGACTTCTTTATGCCATGAGCGTTGAGCAGTACGTTTTGCAGAAGCAGTGGGGAGTATGAGTACATTTGGAGAGTCAGCGCAATGAAGGCTGGTTAATAGAGCTCCTATGACATATGCACCCTAGATGTGTCACTTTCTAGCCCTCCAGAATCCCACAACCTACTGGGAAATATGTGTCCCCAAATGCCTTACCCACAGTCCACAGAGGTCTCCTGCTCTCAATCATGGTTCAGAACCCAGGGGTTCTGCCCACCCATCCTCTCAGATCACTGGAGGTGGACACCTGACCCCCACATAGGCCTTGGAAACTTTCTGGAAAAGAAAAGGCAGGTTAGTTATATTTCTGTAACAGGGAATTTATACTTAAGAAACAGAAATCCAATTGGTGATGAGCACTTGAATGAGAGATCATGGAGCCAGGTTTGAGCAGCTATTATGGGGCTGTTGGGGTTTTGAGGGAATAGAAGTACAGATGGAGCAGGTCAAGGACAGTGGAAATACAGGTGGAATCGTTAGGCAAAGAAATAGGAAAGCCATAACAGAGAGCGGGCAGGAGACGAGGAGTGGCTGGTCTGCGAGCTTCCTGGGTCTCTCCCTTCCTGTGTTTTCTCTCTCTTCTTTTTTCTTTTCTCATTTCTTTCTTCTCTTTTCTCTCTTTCTTCTTCTTTTTCTTTTCTTTTCTTCTTCTTCTTCTCATTCTCTTCTCATCTCTCTCCTCTCTCTCTTTCTTCTTTCTCTCTCTCTCCTCTTTCTCTCTCCTCTCTTTCTCATCTTCTTCTCCTTTCTTCTCTTTCGACAAGTGTCTGGCTCTGTTGCTGCCTTAGAGACTGTGGCATCAGCTTAGCTCACAGCAACGTCAAATACCTGGGCTCAAGTGGATCCTACTACTCCAGCCTCCCAAGTAGCTGGGCCCTCAGACATGTGGCCACCATGCCCAGCTAATTTTCTAAATATATGTTTTTAGTTTTCCAGAAATCTTTCTATTTTAGTAGAGCCAGGGTCGCTCTTGCTCAGGCTGGGTCTCGCCCTGACTTAAGCAGATCCACGGCCTGCATCGGCCCTCCTAGTGCAGGATTACAGGGAGTGAGCCACCATTGCTCAGCCTCCTTCCTGAGTTATTTGTTCTGCATTTCCTAACCCCTCTGAGACCTCTCTATATTCTTGCCATTAACACTCCTTAACTTGAGTTGGTTTGAATAGGTTTCTGGCTCTTGCAATTAAGAGTTCCAACTAGATTAGGAGACAAGGTAAGAGCAAGCAAGTGCTAAATTGTATGTTACTGCTCATTAAGAACCCACGAGAGTCCAGAGAGAGATCAGCTGATATCTTGATTTTCTGTCCTATTGCTCTAAACTTGGAAGGTAGATTCAAGTACCCACTGCTCATTAGTTCTGCCCATCCCACTTCAAACTCTGCATATGTCCATCCTTGCCCCTTGGCCAGCACGCTGGCTCAGTAGCCCATCCTTCTTTCTGTTGTTTCCACTCTGATTTTGTATCCAGACCAGTATCTCCTGTTTCTGCCCAGTCTCTAATGTCCTGGAACTGAGATTTGCCTTTCTTGCTTCTTTGGAGCTTCTAAGACTGGTCCAATTGTTGAAGCTGCTCCTGGGACAGTTCTAGCTACCGGCTCAGGCCCCTTCCTGATACTGACTGCCTTTCTCCCTCCAATCCATTTTCATTGTTGGCTACAGGAACCTCTCCTTGTCACCCACACTACTTCCCAGGATCTTGTCCTTCTCTGTCCTTGTTCTTCCATAACCATTGTTATCCCAGAAACTTCACAGACAAGGTAGGACTTGGCTGGACTTGGAAGGATAAGGGGATGTGGTTTGGCAGTGGAGCAGGAGAAAGATACTCCAGTTATAATGGTTTATACCTACTTCATTTTCATTGGCTTTTAGATTATGGCCATGTTTTTAGTAAGAACATGATATCATTGTTGTAGGAGTGAAGAGCCATCTGTTTACCATATTGCCCAGGGACCAATGTATATGTTTGTTAGCTATGATGTGAGAATTTTTAAAGTCAGTTCTTGGACTTGATGCCAAGATTGTATCTCCTGAAAGGCTCAAGAGATATATGAGTCATGCTTCCTATAGTTGTGAGATGCTGTGGGTTGAATGGATTAAGGAGTGTCAGTAGGAACACTCTCTGCCATTTCAGCTGGGAAAGGTAGCTGCATTCAGAAGAGAACTGACTGAATGTAACAGTACGAAAGTCATTTTAACTTCTCAGTTTAAAGAAAAAATATTTGCATACCCCCCGTATGATCTGAGAAAGAAAATCTAGTAACCTTACAGTTATATGGAATTCAGAATAAGTGAGCTATTTACATAAGTGAAAGTTACTCCTTTAAGATGTCAAATCTTCATGGGAAATTACATCAGATTTTCCTTCTTTATTAAACAGAGCATATTAAACTATATTAACATTCCTAGATGGTTCAGGGTCTCACTAGACATTTTGCGCTGCCTGCTTGCCACAATTTCTGCTGATGGGCAGGCCTAGGGTAGCTGTGTTTTGAAGCACGTAAGTCTCCCAACGGATTGGACCCAAACTGGCACCTGTCCCCAAAGTAGCCAGTCTACAAAGTTGGCCAATGATTTGTGGCCTATAATCTGGCTTAAAAAGTTGAGTTGGGCAAATAGGGATGCTCAATAATTTAAACCAAACATGAAAAAATGTGGAGATTTGTGAAGCACGCCTAAATAAACATTTGTGATGGAAAAGTCAGGGCTAAAGAGTCCATGATGGTCTGTAAGTAAGCAAAGCTGCGAGGAAGCAGTAACCATGGAGAAGCAGGCACAGAGTTGGTTGAGAGAAGACTTAGGAGTTGATATGCAGACATCTCTGTTCCTTGCAGCCAAAGGGATCTAACGAGAACAGGGTTCTTACTTCAGCACTGCGTGTAGGCCCTCGGCCGTCCTGCAGTGTCCAGGGTAGTACGGCTGACACGAGTGTCTCCAGTCTGCTCTTCTCTTTGAGCTGGTGCTACTTTTCCTTGCTCTTGTCTTCTGGGTTCTTTTTTTTTTTTTCTTGAGACAGCGCCTCACTCTGTCGCCTGGGCTGGAGTGCAGTGGCCTCGTCATAGCTCACAGCAACCTCTAACTCCTGGGCTCAAGCAATCCTCTCGCTTCAGCCTCCCGAGTACCTGGGACTATAGACACGCACCACTATGTTTGGCTAATTTTTCTGTTTTTCATAGAGACAGGGGTTTCACTCTTGCTCAGGTTGGTCTTGAACTCCTAAGCTCAAGCTATCCTCCCACCTCGGCCTCCCAAAGTGCTAGGATGACAGGCGTGAGCCACCATGCCCAGCCTTTCTGAGTTCTTCTAAGTCCCTTATTTTCACTCTTGGGGAGTCTATTTCTTCCAGAATCATGAACATTTCTAGGCTTTGCTCTGGCTTCTCTGTTTTTGCCATTTGTTTCTCATTTTTCATCACTTTTTCTGTTCCTTCTGTCTTCCCCCAGATTACTTCCCCTGGGCTTCTGAGTTTTGTTATTCTCACTGACTGACTTCTGTAGCCTTCAGAGATCTTGCTGTCCTAGTGTGTGCTGTTGACTAGAATAAGAACTGGTTGCCTCGTGTTTTCTCTAACCTTCAAGGTTTGGACCTTCTTAGAGTGAACCACTGCTCACTCCCAGAGGCCTTCGGGGGCTATTTTCAGGTTTGCAGCTGTTCTGGAGAATAGGAGGTACCAGATGTTAGAGAAATACCAGTTGGCTAATAATGCATTATGTTCTTTTCTTTTCTTTCCTTTTTTTTTTTTTTTTTGGCAGCAAAAGCCTGCCTTTCAAGTCCCTTGCTTATTTTAAAATTAGTTTGCATTCCATGAGCTCAAACCATGTGAGCTGTGGGGGGCAAATGAGCCAAGATGTTTGTTGTGCTAAATTTCAGGGAAAAGTCAACCCAAATTAAAATTGGACCTCAGGTAATGAACAAAATAAATATTGTTAGATAATTAAGAACTGATAATAGTGCTGATTCTAACACTATCTAGAAAACACCTGACCACAGTATTAGCAAACAAAATAGAATAAGTGAGAGGGAGGATTTTTAACTTGCCAAATGCCAAGTCAGCAAACATACTATTAGGAAATCTCTTATTGTTCATTTTCTTGAGAGACTGGAAAACTTATAGTCTGTCTAGTTTCTGGATTCCATGGTTATTTTATATCCGATATAAAGTTGCAACTAAAGTTCATAGCTTGGCCTAGTAGCATAAGAAAATAAAGTGACCCAACATCTTTAAAGCACCAATCACCTTCTCCCTGTGGTTGAAGAAAGCGTGGAGCAAATTGGTTCAGAGCACAGCTCCCCACCTCCCCTTCATGAGCCCCCACTTTAGAAAAGAAGAAAACCAGCCATCTCCCCCATCCTCAATCTTCCTGAGGAACATTTATTATCCTGGTCTATAAAAGACTTCTGGGCACTGAACAAAGGATTCATTGTCAGGCTACAGTTGCTGCAAAACAACCCAAAGGATTCAGGCTTGCATCATCCCTTATAAGAGAGCCACAGAAAAGCAAAGCAAAGCAAAGGAAGGTTTGGGAGGAAATATTGAAGGTGTGTTGCTTTGTTTCATTCAGGTGAAAAGGTCATGGTGAGTTTTTGTCCCTCCATCCACCCTTCCTTCTTTCCATCCAATTGTATAGCTTAGAATTTAGAAGTAATGTTTGCTAAGGGATGTGTATTAACATGTTTATTTTAAATGATTAAAAAATAACAGAAAGCCATGTCTGAGTGAAAGTATAAGTCTAATTTGCTAAAGAATTTGACGATGATGACAGCTTTGCCAATTACATAATATGCTGGAAATTTTCTATAAATTGTATGAGCTAACTTGCAGTTTCAAAGTTTTTTTTTTTTAAAAAAATAAAGTATTATACAATTTAAAGTATGGCAGAAATTTCACTCTTTGCATGTATTTAATGATAAAGATGTCTGCTTCAAAGTGTGTGAATCTGTATAAAGTTCTTCAAAATTATTTTACCCTGAGATACCAGAACAAAATAATTGAGTATCACTGCTGTAAAGAATGGTTAAGGATGTGATGGTATTTTGCTTGGGGAAGATCAAGAGGAAATTGTAGAGGTGGTGGTGGTGTGGGCTTGTTCTTAAACAATTTAGTTCAATGGAGCAAATGTTCTAAACACGTGCTTTGGAGAGGGCATTGGAAATGATGCTGCGGACACAGAGATGAGTAAATGCTGATGACATCGCCATGCCCTTGAACCAGGTAAATGTGTATCAAAAAAATTTATGCCATGTGTTATTTTTGGAGGAAGAAGGTACGCTAATGAAATAAAAGTAGGGTATCATAACTGCACAAATGTGAATCTTGAGAATGAACTATCTTCCTGGTGAAGAGGGTCAGAGCAATGATGGGCAGTCCTGCAACAAACTTTCAAAATATGATCTGGCATATGCAAGAATGTTCATGGCAATTCTATGCATGTGGTCACAAACCAGACTAACCCAAGTGCCCTCTTCAGTAGAACGGGCAGACAAACCATGTATACTTAAGCAACAGCATACTTTACAGCAATGAGAGCAAGAGTCAAGAAACTATGACTACACACAATATGAACAGAACTCACAAATATAATGTTGCATAACAAGACTGACATAGAAGAGTATATACTGTGTGATTTGATTTTTAATTTAAGATCAGAAACAGGCAAAAAGAGCCATCATGGTTAGAAGTCCGTTAGGGTCATGGTTATACTGGAGAAAGCTTCTAGGTGCTGTTCATGTTCCGTCTCTGGATTTGGAAACTGTTTACAGGGCTGTGGTCACCTTGTGAAAATTAATAGAGCTGACTATTTATGATTTGTGTGTTTTTATGTATTCATGTTACGCTTCCATAACATTTAAAAATAAACAAAGTGGCTGTGATGTGGTGTTAAGTTAGTCCTCGGTTGAGTGCACCGCCCTGGTGCTCTGCACAGCTGGACGTGAAGTGGGAAGGCAGGGGCCTCAGAGGCGGGAGCCGCTGTGAGCGGAGCTCAGGATTTTGTGGTGCCCATCAGAGTTCTGCTGTGGCGGCTTCTACCCCACCAGCCACAAGCCGTAGTCCTCCTCTTTCTCCCCACCCTGTCACAGGGGTTTCAGATCTCAGACTATGAAATGACACACAATTTGGAACATACCTGCTGGGTCGGCGGCAAGGCCACATGCCACTCCTGCCCACCTGACTCCTCAGGTGGCTCAGCACAGTCCTCTCCCTTCACTCTAGTCAGACCCAGGTGAGCCAGGAGGCAGCTGGAGCTCTCGGGGCCGGGTTAGACATCTCTCCTGCCAAGCCTAGTGTGGTGGACTTAGCAGTTTCAGCTTCTGACACCCTGTGGGTGATTTCACAAGTGTTAGAGGGTGACTTTCATATGATTGGCAGCTCAGGGGAAGAGGGAAAAGCCCTTTCTGTGACTCTCGCAGGCAGGGTGACAATGAGGCATGTGCATGGAGCAGCTTGGCACAAGGCAGGGCTGAGAATCCCCTGTCAGCTCCGGGGCTGAAGGCGGCAGGTCCTGGCTGGATGTGGCCCAGGACATCAAAGCTGTGCAGACTGAAATGGGACTTATCCCCGCCCAGGAGGCCTCTGGGCGGGTCAGCTGGCCTGGAGAAAACAACAGGGCCTCAACGTGACAGTCCCCGCATTCTGCAGACTTAAAAGGGAAATCCTTTGGATTCTGACTGGACTCCTGGGGCTCAGCCCTGGCCGTGGCCTGAGGCTGCAGAGAGGAAGAAAAATCCGGAAAGGGCTGCATGTTGCAGGGAGGGGCTCTTCAGAGGTGATCAGAGAGGGTATCGTGCCTGCGAGGACTCAGTAGCCTGGGCTGCTCTGTGCCTTCATGTGCCCTCAGCTCTGCTGACGGTGCCAGGGACCCTTCTCCCCATGCTGCTCCCTGGCACCCTCACTCACCCCACGTGGCTCTGTGGATGCCTCTTCCTCACTGTGACTCCCAGCTGCCTGCCTGTCAGCCCGCAGGTACTCAGAGCTTCGCCCCAGTGCCGCTGCCCCTCGGATAGACTCCGTGCCTGCGCCTTCCCTGCTCCGTCGTCCCATGCTCATCCCGTAGTCCTCCTTGGCTTGGGTTTTTATTTGCATTTCCCTTCCTGTGTACACAAAGGTAGGACACAGAGGAAGGCCAGCAGAGGGCAAAGAGCACTAGCGCTGGAGCCAGGACACGGAGGAACGTTTGGTGTGTGACTTTGGGCAAACGGTGGAGACGCTGCCTCGGTGTGACGAGCTGGGTCCCCTGTGCCAGACCCCAGTGCCTGGGCTGTGCTGGTGCCGGTGCCAGGGCGGGTGCAGAGACGGGACCTCTGCCCCAGCCCTTACAACCTGCTGGATAGCAGTGTCTGTGTGTTCTCCCTCTCCCCCACACCTCCACTCATGTATGTGCGTGTCTCTCTCTCACACACACACACACACACACACACACATACACTCCTATAGGCTGAATCAGAGTGTTTCTTAGCCTTGACTCACTTTAGTAGCTCCTTGCTGCCAGGTGTGACTCTACACTCCTGTTTAGTTTTCAAAATTTGGTGAAATGAAGATGTTAACTCAAGGCTCATTTTCTTTTGCTGCCACAGATATCCATGTAATTGCTGGATCCTTGCAGTGGGGAAAATGCCTGTTGTCTTGACCTCAAAGCAGACCAAGGGCATGGCAGTCAGAGTCAGAGAGGTGCAATCAGACAAAGCCAATCAGAGGTTTACAGAGCCGAGTCTGGCAGGACTAGACCTAGAATTGCACTAGGGAAGAACATGAGGTTTCATGTGAATTTCTGCAGAGTCCACTTGACCCGCTTCCTACTTGGTGCGTTATGGCTTCCACTAACTCCCGTGCACAAAAGGACAGTGTTCTTCTGATTAATCAAACCCCAATTCTTCCTGCATTTGTACCCAGACTCTGATAGGATGTATGTCTTGATGACCTTCAAACATCAAAGATTAATTAGAATAAACACTTCTCACTTTCAGAACAGTTGACATGGGGATGGGATTTTGTTTCAAAGTAGAGAGACTAATATAAATGGGAATATCTGTGTGAATACTCAAAATCCAAGGCAAAGAGTGTCAAGTTTATTCTGGACTCAGAACTGCAATATAACCTAAGGGTTGACTTGTGTCAGAATATGAAATGTTATTTTCTACTAGGAAGGAAAAGAAAATAAATATATCTTAATGTGTGCTATGTGATAGGCACTTTACATACATTAATTTATTTGATCCCGACCATAAATCTCCAAGGAGATATTTGATTTCCTTTTTACAAATGAGAAAACTTGAAGAGCAGACACGACAGCTATAGAGCCAAAGCCAGAGTTGTAACCCACACTCTGAAGTGAGGGATTCTGCAAACATTCAGGTGTAACCCCATGCTATGCGATGCCATAGCATGTGACCTCATCAAACCACTTCTCAGCCATCTTCTGTTACGACAATGAATTTAGTCTTAGTTCATTTTCTTCCTGGTACTGTGCTAGTGGTATGGCTATTACAAAAGAATAAGATGATTCTTCTCTTTGGGAGCTTGCTGGTTTGAGAGAAATTAGAGCCACAGACACAAAACAATTAGAGCATATTTGGTATATAACGGAGATGGAGGAAGATGTTGAGTTAGTGAGTGAATAAAATTCAACTGAGCACAACTAGACGGATGTCAGATGAGGTCTGATTAGGGAATCCATCCTAGGACAGACAGCAAAGGGGCAGTGGCAGGTGGCCATGAAAGACAAAGTTGGCAGGGTGAGAAGGGAGCTGTGGACTGGCTCAGGGTGGGAAATTCAACCATCTTCACTGGTTGGTTGACTCTAATCCATTCATTTCTATTTTAGTTGGCAATAAAGAGAATTTTATCTGAATTTGAGAAGAAACTATTACCTTTAACTTTGCCTTTATTGTTCTGATCCTTATTTTCTTTTTCTATGTCCTTTTAAAATTCTGCCTTTCCTATAGAGGGGTTTTCTTTTTTCTTTACTGCTCATGCAAAACTAAGCAAAGAGGGGCTCTCCCTAGACAAGGCCTGCCCCTCTTCTGTTTTTGGAATACCTGTTTCATTCCTCAAAGCCTCAAACACATTCTCTTTCATCTGTGTTGTCTTGAATTTGTGCCCAAAATTGACAGGAGTGTGAATATCCTGGCTCTTTCACCACTCAGATGGGATGACTGGGAGGCAGGTGTTTTATACTGGATCACAGAGTGTCCCCAGTGGAAGTTCACTTGAGTGGCCATGGTAGTAGCTGGCTTGATGATGCACCTGCAGTCATCTTTCTTGTGTCACTGTCATATCCCACATGCCCACCCCCTTACCAGCACTCCCCCTACCTCCCAAAGAAGCCACTGGCATTCTAATCCTTGCCTCTGATCCTGTTTCTGGGAGAGCCCCAACTAAGACAAATATATATAGACAGACCTATACTCAGAAGGTGAAAAACAAAAGGAAATCATATATGTTGATGAATAAATTACATTTTTTTTTTTTTTTTTTTTTTTTTTTGAGACAGAGTCTTGCTTTGTTGCCCAGGCTAGAGTGAGTGCCGTGGCGTCAGCCTAGCTCACAGCAACCTCAAACTCCTGGGCTCGAGTGATCCTTCTGCCTCAGCCTCCCGGGTAGCTGGGACTACAGGCATGCGCCACCATGCCCGGCTAATTTTTTTTATATATATATATCAGTTGGCCAATTAATTTCTTTCTATTTGTAGTAGAGACGGGGTCTCGCTCTTGCTCAGGCTGGTTTTGAACTCCTGACCTTGAGCAATCCGCCCGCCTCGGCCTCCCAAGAGCTAGGATTACAGGCGTGAGCCACAGCGCCCGGCCATAAATTACATTTTCTATGTGTGGAGTCAGTTAAGATATTTGTACTGAATGTGGCTTATATTAGCATAATAAACTCAAAATTTCAAATAATTGCAAAAATATTTCCTATTAGCTTTAAAAGATGCTTTGTGTTTTCATTTGTTTATGAGACTAACTGGTGACTGGAAATAAAATAATGAAGCCACTAATGAAAAGACTCCCTCCTCCACTGCTTGCCTTGTTCTTGCCCACTATTCTGTGTTAGAGATGTTTTAGCTTGATGTTAAACACTAGCTTAAAATACTCATGTCTGCTGTAGTTGTTCATATCATAAAATCTTAAGCCCCTCAACTGAATGAATGGACCCCCTCTTGGCCAAGGCGACCCGCCCCCCAAAAACCCCTGAAAGCTGAGTTACCAGCCATGAAGAGAAGTGAGGTCAGACACGCCCCCTGCAGTCCCTTTTGAGGTGTTCTTTGTAACAATAAGATAAAAAATCATTAACAATTGATGACCACACCTGCAGGTCGTCAATTTACTTAATAGATCATTGAATCATACCCAATGTCTGGTATACGTCTGGTGGCTTGTCTCTGATGAACAGACTTACCTTAACTTAAAACATTCCAATCCTTTAGACAAAGCTTCATTTCTTTAACCAATTACAAATCAAAGGATCTTTAAACTCGCCTATAACCTATAATCCCCTGCTTTGAGATATCCTACCTTTTTTGGGCCAAACAAGTGTATATCTTCCCTGTATTGATTTATGACTTTATGTGTAATTCCTGTCTCCCTGAAATGTATAAAACCCAACTGTAACCCAATCACGGAGAGACCACTTGCTCAAGGCTTCTTGGGGTGGCTCTCCAGGCCGTGGTTGCTCAGAATAAACCTTTTCAAATTATTTTACAAAGTTTGGGCTCTTTTCCATTAACATTAGGAAAATTAGTGTGTTTTCATTTGATCTCTTTCCTCCTGGGAACTTGATTGGATGGGAAATATAGACATAAACAAGAATATGAACTGAATAATTTTCAAATCTACCTGCTTAATTACAATTATTTGCCCACAGAACTCAAAACAAGACTTGCTGCAGATAATGCATTCCATGCTCTCGAAAGCAGGTTGCATCCTTTTGTTTGAAGCCTAGATGTCCAGAACTCCAGGAAGGCTGGGACTGGAGAATTGGAGACCAGGAAGACAACTGGCCCCAGCTCACATCTCATTCCCAGACATATGCAAGATTCTCTTCAACTGCAAGTTTCTTCTGCTGGTGTACTTCAGTTTTAAGTAATTGGATTTCCTTGTAGACCATGTCAAAGGTGTATTTCCTTCATATTATTAATAGTTTTGCCTGTATTGTCTCTAGTTTCTGAAACTTTGTCAAGTTCTCTCTTTGGTATATTCTTCAGACTTTTCTAAAAACAGTTGATAAAGAGGATTTCATTATGTCCAGGATACACCTCCCAATGGAACTTTCTAGTCTCTGTTCAGCTGTAAATTTTACCCCAATTGCTTCATGTATAGTCTAGTTGTTTTTTCTTTCAGCTAGACCGTGAGCCCTTGAAGACTGGAATTGAAGCATCTTCTCGTAATTATCATAAACCATCACTGAACACACAGTAAAAGTCAATAAATACTGGCTAGTTGATTTACTCATGCAATCTGCAACAGTAAATGTGGTACCTGCAGGGGTTCTCTAATTGAGAATCCAC